GAGAGAGAGAGAGAGAGAGAGAGAGAGAGAGAGAGAGAGAGAGAGAGAGAGAGAGAGAGAGAGAGGCAGCTGTTCATCAATATAAACATCATTGGTTTTATTTCATTTCCCTTATGATTGGCCCTACCATTCTGGACATTCATTGCCCGATGTTCAATGGCCTTTTCTGAACAGCCCCTACCCTATGGAATATTTTCTTATGTCTTTTCTGTTACAGCCCCTACCCTATGGAGTTCCTTGAGATCCAGCAGGCCTCTACCCTCTTATCCTTCTAGAAAACATGAAGAGCTGACTTGTCCCTCCAGCAGTGGGATAATGTGAAGTTGGAGTGTTGTGGGCTGTATTGGGGAAGCTTGATTATGGTGCCAAAGTTTATTGTTTTCTCTTTTACTATCTCTATACATTGTTTTATCTTTTTGTTGGGTGCCACCCAAAGTTTAGTTTTTAAATGGGCAGCCATATCAATATTATAAATAAATACAATTTGCCTGAATGAAATGGTTCTTCAGTTGCTTTTAAAAATGGGTTCCATTGTAGGGATTAAAACAGTTTTGGATGATTGGATTTGCAAGAGCCAGAGTGAATCCCTGCTAGTTCTTTTGGACCTCTCATTAATATTCAATACCTGCAGGCACAATTTCTTCTAAGATGATTGTGGGATGTAGAATGTGCTCATGTGATTTCAGTCCCATTTTTTGCAAGATTCTGTAACACTATTCTTTGGTTAGCTGATAAATTTATTGTCTCTTCATTGGCCTCTTATGTCACTTAACTCTTACTGGTTTGAGGTTGCAGAGTTGTTAATCATTAATATGCTTAAAAACCTCTGCTCTTTCTACGTAGAGGAAGACAGCTTTGCCTAATATTATTGATAGGTATATATACTACTAGACATAACCTGGCGTTGCCCGGGTATTTATTTATAGGGGGGAAATGTCTGGACCAAACATAGTTTCTAATATTGGATTTTTCCCCTTACCAGAGGGAGCCACCTTGTGGAATACCGTGAAGCCATTACCATGGCAACTTCACTGCGCTATATAGTAAAAGCCATTTAAAGGCACAACAGGCTGCATCTTAACAGAACACTCTCCCCTCAAGGGGTGTTAGGGGTGCCTTATTCCCACAATATTTTTCTCCAGAGAGTAAGTAAACTTGATCTGTGTATCAAGTTTGGTTAAAATTGCTTGAGGCAATAACACACACACACACACACACACACACACACACACACACACACACACACACACACACACACATATATATGCTACAGTTCAACACATCAGATGAGCACCAGTTTGGGGAAGACTCTAGAAAAATTTCTACTGTTAACAGTAGTTTATGAGTGATTGCGAAATCACAAACATTTAGATTTCAGCAAAGATTTGTGAATGTTCATGCACATTAGAAATAATGTTTCTGCTTTCCCTTTATCATTTGCTGCCTCCTCCCTATCCCATTTGACTTCTTATCAACTCCAAAAGGAACTTCATAAGAATCAACAGATTCTAGAGTATTAGAAAATCTTCATCTAATAATAAGGATAAAGTTTCATTCTGATGCTTTTTGTTCAGTGGGTATTCATAAGATAATGGTTTTTTTTCTTCTTTTCACAGTGCTTATACAGAGCCTTACAAGGTGTGCCCCATCTCTGTAATTCCTCTTGAAGATGTCACATCTGATGAGGAACAGAAAAGTTCAGAAGATGAAGAGAGTAATCAAGGAGATTCCAATATCATCCACAAGGTAAAAACACAATTTTCTTTTGGAATACATTTTGTAGATCCTGGGAAATTTGTTAAGATATTGACTAGATTTTCTTCCAATTCCATTTCTTTTGTGTTTTTGAAATGAACTGGCATCTACTGCTGTTGGTCTTTTAACTGCTTTGTTCGAACTGGAATTAAATGTTAGGCCTGATATTACTGAAATCATTTAACAACTATGTAGCACTAGCCAAAACTGATCTATATTAGGATGATTTATTTTAAAACATTCTTAGAAAATAAAGTTCTGGTTTTTATGGGAACCTTACTCTGTTTATTTAAAGAGCAATATTTACTGATGAAACACAAATCACCTTTATCATTTTCTTGTAGAAAAAAACCCTTTCAATTACATATAGTCATTGTAAGCAGATTTTGGTGTCCTGTTATTAAGAAGAATTGGCAGACACGGTAAACTTCACTGCTGAAAATAAATCAAGAATTTGGAAATGACCTAATCTGAAAATAGTTTTGGGCTGGTCTAGTAACAAGTGTAATTTGTTGATTTTGTGGTTTAATTGTTGGCCTTGCTCATGTATACCTTTTATCTACTAGATAAATGTCAGCCTGAAAACAGCAACAAGAGCCACGCCTAGTAGAAAATATTTTCAATTTAATCAGGAAATATATATATTTATAGTGCATTGATCATTTTTATGCCCTCACGGCAGCATTGAGTTCTGACAACTACATGGACCAGTCCCTGCAGTGTTCTTGGCAAGATTTGCATTGGCTCCTTCCAAGGGCTGGGAGAGGGTGACTGACCCCAAGTAATCTAACTGAATGTGACCTAGTGGGACCAAAATTCACCATCTCCTAGTTTTTAATCTGGTGCACAAATACTCCACCAAACTGACTAATTTATACTGTAAGCAAGAAATGATTATTTGCTAAGAAAAATGTTTTGTTTTCATTATGCTGAACATTATTAGGTTTTCATTATACTAAAATTCTGTCCTAACTGAATATATAATCTTATAAATCTTGAATAAGTATCAGTTTGCTGGATTGTTCATCAAATATTTAAAGAGGCCTTATGAGTTCCTTAGGGACATGGTGGTTCGGTGGCTAAGATGTTGAGCTTGTCTATCAGAAATGTCAGCAGTTTGGCAGTTTGAATGCTTAGTGCCGCGTAATGGAATGAGCTCCCATTACTTGTCCCAGCTTCTGCCAACTTAGCAGTTCGAAAGAACATAAAAATGCAGATAGAAAAATAGGAACCACCTTTGGTAGGAAGGTAACAGTGTTCCGTGCGCCTTCAGCATTTAGTCATGCCAGTGACATGACCATAGAGACCTCTTCGGACAGTGCTGGCTCTTTGGCTTTGGAACAGAGATAAGCACCGCCCCCTAGAGTCAGGAACAAGTAGCACATACTGTATGTGAGAGGGGCACCTTTGAGCTCCTTAGATAGTGGCATGACAAGCATTACTTCTTTTTCTCCTATCAACCCTTCTCCCAAAACTAATCATCCTTAGCCAAACAATTACATTTCATATCTTTCTTGTGAGTTTCTGTTTCATGAACATCTTAGCAGGATTCTGGAACCTGTGCGAGTAGAATTGTTGCTCTGGGACATACATTAATAAGAGCAACATAGCATCTGTGGTATTTACAACCCAATCAAATGTCAGACGCCAGTAGATGGTGTTCTGAAAAGTCACATATGCTTTAGCATTAAATGAACCGCTTCTTACTAAGAATGCTGCTGTTAAGTTCATTTAAAAAAAATGGGTAACTCCATTCCAAGCTATTAAGGAACACAAGTTGATTTGTGATTTGTGGTGCAGTTTGCAGCAGAGTCCAATTAATCCAGTTCCTCTGTCAACTGAGTGTACTACTACCAATTTTAGTGTCTTCTCTACTTCTGTTGCTGTTCAAATTCTTTAAAACCAAAATCTGACTACTATATGCACATTTCTGCATCTGGGAAGGAGCACACATTTAAATTGAAGCTTTTCTTTCACAACTGAATTGTTGTATAAATATATAATGGAAAGTAGTTTTTTTTTTAAAAAAAAGAAGAAAATATGGATTTCTTGCCTGCAAATCACTGTCTTAAATCAAAGGAGAGCCCAGTAAATATGGCCAAAGAGTTTTAACTACACTTACCCAATACTGCTACTTGAAGCACGCATTATTTGGAAGTACAGAGAAACTGCATCTATTACAAAAGTCATATGAAAATAGTCATAGGGAGAATATTTCAGAATATAAATGGAAGGCAAATTCTCAAATGATGTGGGCATAATGTGAGTTGCTTCAAAATTTAAGTTATTGCAATATTCTCCAGTCAAAGAAAGAAGTACTCTCCATTGTAATGTTATTTAACTGGCAGCTAGGAGGAGGAGGAGGAGGAGGAGGAGGAGGAGGAGGAGG